CCCCCCTCCCGAGCGGGGCCTGGGCTCCGGGCCGCCGCGCCCGGCCCGCGCCTACCTCTCGGACTTGGTGAACTTCCGGAACGCCTGTCGGAGGTCGTGGAAGGAGCGGTAGGTCTGCGGCTCGGCCGAGATGCCCTGCGCCCGGGTGGTGCGCGGCCCGATGTGCGGCGAGGGTGCGGGCAGCACCGACTGGCATTTGTGCAGCTTCCTCTTCAGCTCCTGGATCTCCTCCTCCTTCTCCGACAGCCGCTTCTCCAGCTCCTTGATCCTCTCCTCCTTGAGCATGAGAATCTTGGCAAAGTCTTCCTCCAGCTCGCTCATTTTCGCCCGGAGCCCCTCCGCGAAACTTTCCTCGGGCGCGGCCGGACGCCGGCCGGGGGAGGCGAGCGCGGCGAGGGAGCCGAGGGGGCGCCGAGTGCGAGCGCGCGCGGCAGCGCTGCCCCCGGAGCGGCCGGCGGGCGCGGGGAGCCGCTGTCTGCGAGCCCCTTCTGCGGAGTGGACTTAAAAGCTCCGAGGGGACGATGAGACGTCTAAAAGCGGTGGAGAGGAGAGGCAGAGTGCTAATCCCCAGCCTCTCGGGGGACTAGGTGATTATCTTTCATTGAGAAACCAATTAGAGCCGCCCGGTCTCCCCTGAGACCCCCCTCCCCCGTCCCCTTTCCCAGTCGCTCCGTGAGAACCCCGCGCGCGCCACCCCACCGACAGCCTGGCTTCCAGCTGGAGGGTTGGACCAGAGAACCGGGTCTCACCCCATCACACAGTAATCACTCTTCCACGCTATACGGTACCAAAGGGAAGGGGTGGGGTGGGGGGAGCTTTATGCCACTTGATCCTTGAAATAGCAACAATTACCATGTGATCTGGCAGATGACGCAGCGCTTGTAACTGGAGCCTAAAGACTTGGTGGGGTGTGTGTGAGAGACAGTGTGAGATATTTCATAAATATTAGACTGCCTTTGAGTCAGTAACCTGCATAAACTCATCTTCGTTTTCACTTTTTACTTCTCTTCTGCTCTGGATAAGGTAGGGTGTGTGTTTGTGTGTGTGTGTGTGTGTGAGTGTATTTCTCTTACTGTGCAGCCCTGTGCTTGTGACCCCAGAGAATAAGAATGACAGGGCAATAGCAATTCCAACTTTTTTCAGCATAAAATTTTACTGGAAATAGTGAACCTTTGGTAGGAAAGTGGAATGAGTATGCATATGGTAATGAGCCAAAGGTTTGGCGGGGTGGAGGGAAGGCCATTCTGCTGTAAACTTCTTAGAGCCTGGATTTTATTTCATCTGCTACAGTTAAAATGTGTATATGAGCATCCAGATTATATCACGACATCGTCTTCCACGCCTCGCCCCTACCAGCGCCAATTTTGGGGGGAAAATTGCATCTGTAATCTGTTTTTCCCTTACCTGTGCATCCACCCCCTCAGCCTCTGCTAAAGGGATTGTTCTGCCTCTTTGAGCCTGAGTATTTGCTAATGCCTAAAATTTACTTTTCTTATCTATTGTGTGTGTCACAGAGAGCACTTTCATCACATAAATCATTGTGTGAGTTTATCTGTGACTGTGGGAGGAGCATGTCTCCAGGTAATGATCAATAGAATGGTAAATCTTTTTTTAAAGGAAAAAAAAATAGATGCAGACTAAGATACCAAAGGACTTTCTCTGAAACAGTAACTTCCTTTTAAAAGAAAGATCAATGTACAACCACTGGCTACTTATTAAAAAAAAAAAACTTTCTACCTTGCCTGAAACGCCTAAGGAAAAGCAGTCATATACTTTGGTTTATAAACAAATCCTAAAATATATTTTATTCTGGAGATTTCTTTATTATTTACTGTCAGTTCTACTTATCTGATTATTTTAAATTAAAAACATTCCAAACCACATCTGAATTTCTTAATCACACCAGATGCTCAAGGTTGGCTTTATTTACTCATATTTGAGAAGGAGTTCTTGGTCTTGTTGATAGTTACTATTCTGTTGCTTCCATCTATGAGCAATCTAAACTGCTATAATCCTCTTAGGAACACTCAAAACAGTTGGCCTTTTAAAATAATACATTAGCAAAACTTTATCGCATTCAAAACTCTAGCAGAGGCTCAACTTTATGGAAGAGATAGAAATAGTTTTAAAATGACTCTTGGACAGGTTCTTTCAAGTTTTACATTATCTTAAATGCAGATATTCAAATGTTTCTCCTTATTTTTTTTAAAAAGGAACCTTTAGACCAAGATTTCACACACACACACACACACACACACACACACACACTCAGAACCCTAACTGCATCCCTATCTTCCAAAATTAATCTTATTTTTTAATATATCAGTTTTAACTTAAGTAATGTTGACAACCTAGTGACATTAAATCTTGTCCATTGGCTTAACAAATATGAGAGCGCAAGGAACACTTCACAAAGAGCCTGGTAGAAGAGTAAACACTGAATTATTAAAAATCATGGCATTTCAGAGCTGGAAACAACGTTGAAGATCATCTAACCAAATCACCTCACGTTATAAAGGAAAAAAATTAGAGCTTGAAAGGTAAGGTCCAAGGTCACCTAAGTTAATAAGTGTGAATCCAGGACTCCCAATGCCCACACAAAATGTTTTCCCTAACATTCTGCTCCTAGCCTGACACCGGAAAATCTAGAAATTCTATGATTCTGACAACCTTTAGTATTCAAAGACGTGGCTTTACTCTGTATTGTTTGCTTTTAAATCTGCAGCAGTAAGTTTCAACTATCAAAGCAAGAAAGTATTAATGAAACCTTAGTTTTATTTTGTGCCGTTTCCTCTTAAAGGAGAAGGTCGCCATCTAGTGCCCTTGGAGAAATTTGCTAAATAAAAATCTTAACCACAGTGAAGTGAGGTCATGTCCTTAAAGACCCATACCAGTGTTTCCATGTTCCTCATTTGAAAGAAATAAAGAAAATATGCCGAATTTTGTATCCAAGTACGACATTTTTAAGAATTAAAAATTTACAATCTTTTGGCCACTGGATAATGACAAAAGTGATGATAAACATTTATTGAATGTTTAATATTTGCCAGCACAGGGCTAAGTCCTTTATGCCACTGATTTTAATGCCCATAAGGACTCTATAAGGTAGGTACTATTATTTGTTCCCATTTTATAGTTGGAGAAACTGATGCTTAGCTAGATTAGGTAATACGCCCATGGATGTCCAGATCTGACCTAGGCTGTCTTAATCCCTGCTCAGCACTGCTTCAACGTGAAATGTATTAAAATGTCCATTCTGTATGAGCCCAGTGACAAGCAGAACTAAAAGTTCTTTGCTAATGGAAACACACTAAATTTAAAACCCCATATGAACCCAGATAAAGCTCTAAGATTCTGGCTTCTCAGCAATCTATTTACCAAAATTGCTCTCCTTGTGATACTTGGGGATCTACTCTACATTTCATACACAATTTCAAATTTTATTTTTTTTTAATATTTATTTATTTGAGAGAGCAAGTGAGAGAGCACCAGTGGCAGAGAGTGGCAGAGGGAGAGGGAGAAGCAGACTCCCCACTGAGCAGGGAGCCCAATGTGGGGCTCGATCCCAGGACCCTGAGATCATGACCTGAGCCAAAGGCAGAGGCTTAACCAACTAAGCCACCCAGGTGCCCCTCAAATTTTTTTTTTTAAGTACATGTACTTTCAAAATGTTATGATGGTGCGTTGCCCATATACCCACATCAAAAGGGAGCACTTTATAAAGAACCTGAAGCCTTATAGATGTGAGTAGCTCATGGGGGATTCCTGTCCTTTAATCCAGGTCAGTGTCATGGGAAGTAATGGGAGGACAGTGTCTATTTTAAAAAAAATTAAAGTCAGTTTGCTTTTTGTTATCACTATATGCCACAAGTTCTCAACAATGTCAATGATAAAATACTCCTCCTCCCAAAAATATTTCATTGGTCTAATTTCGAGCAATTGCTGCATTCACTGCTGAGCAGATGAACCATTCCCATGGCCCCACCCCTGGAGCAACATTGACCTTAGTACACGTTACAAGGATCCAGAGCAAAGAGAACAGTCATGGGCTGGTGGGTGGAGTGAGGTCCCATGGATGGCAGCAGAAGATAGATTGGGGGAACTGAGAACGGGGGATAGAGGTTTGAGCTTTTGGTATGGTTGGCATGGGTGGGAAGGGAGGTAGGGATTGAAACCACCTCTCTAATCCCAATACTTTATATCCAAACACTTCTCTTGGTTGCAGAATGACAGTATTTGCAGAAAACTGCTTGGGATGCATTTTCCGTCAAGGGATGCAACTAGTGAACTGAGTATTGGACTTGGAGCCTAAAGATCTATACTTATGTCTCAGTTCTATCACTTCCCAAGCTGTGTGCTCTTGGGCAAATCCCTAAACCTCCAAGGGATCCACTTCCCACATTTGTAAATCGGGCAGTGGAAGCTACCTAGGGTCCAGAGCACTCTTTTACGTTCAAGGGTTCTAGAGAATTCTGCTTTCCCTGTGACTCACATTTTGAAATTATCAGTCTGTTCTTAGGAGCAACATCCATCCATGAACTCCAGCTGAGTTTAAAATTTTGACAAGAAAGAGTTCAAAGGGAGTCTAGATGGTCCTATAAAGATGACCACGTACTTGGTGATGAACAGAAGCTTGAAGCATTTTCAGTTAATACTACATCAGACTGGATGTGGCTTCAACATTATTGCCTAAACCACGTTCTGGCGCCCATGAGTGTGGTCACACCTTATGCAAGATAAAAGCTCAAAGTCCTGAAACACATCCACATCTGTGTTAATCACATAGAACATGAAAACAGCAAATGGAATGCTGCCTCCGGTAAACTTCAAAATTAGCTTCCATTTATTGCATTTACTTAATAAATCATAGGCTGTTTTAAAAAAAAATGCCTCCAGAAACACATACATAAATGCTTTTTACCATGTGGTCCTGTTGCTGTACGTGGAGCTCTTTCCCACGCTGCAAGCAACCGGAAGAGCATGGCTGTGTATGATTTTCAGTGATATCTGGTCTACAGGTTTGGGGGAAAAAATCATTTTTCCTAGAAATTCTGAAAAATAAAACTAAGAGATGTTGCTACTTAAGTATTGTAGAAATCAAAGTCTGCAGTCTATTCAGAACCTTGAAATATGGCATATTCCTCCTGGAATATGGAGATACAGAAAGCTGTGGGACTTCAGGCAGATCATACCATCTCCCTGAGTGTACAACTATGTATGGATATTAAATTCTCTTGCACCTGCTCTTTAAATGTTCACATGAAGCAAGATGAAAGCAAGATGCTATCACTTAAATATGACCCTATGTAAATAAATATAAGTAAAGTGGTAATGCTTCTCCTGCTTTTTTCTTGAAGGGAAAGTC